CTGCCTTCGGCTCAGGTCATGATCCCAGGGTCCTGGGATTGAGCCCCACATCGGGCTCCCTGCTCAGCGGGAAGCCTGCTTCTCCCTCTCCCACCACCCCCGCTTGTGTTCCCTCTCTCATTGTCTCTCTGTCAAATAAAATCTTTATAAAGAAAAAAAAAGAGCTAAATGAGCAAAAACAAAAAACATGCCAGCAATAATCCAACAACCCTGGTCACTTGCTTCTCTCAAAGGTAGTTTGCATGTAAGAGTCTGCTTCCTGTGAACCCCTGTCTCATAGCTTCAGTTTGCTTAATTCCGTAGGAAATAGGGCAATCTTTTAGCCATGAGACTCACACTCTGAACTGCTCCAGACTAAAATATCCCCACCTTAGGATCGAGCAGCTGCTCGGGGCCACAAAAGCAATGGGCTGGTTATAGGACTTTGTTCTTGGTTGAGCCATGACTGCACCCCATGACTGCACCAAAGGAAAGGCATGAATTTTGAGCAAAAAGGTACATGAGAAAATGCTGAATTTGTTCGGGGGGGTGGGGGGCAGGGGAGGGTTCAGTTTTACGACAACACTCAAATCCAATAAAACACACATACATACTAACACAGTCTGAGTATTCCAATCCTTACAGCAAAAATAACTTCACTTTTTAGGGTCTGAAATAGCCTAACATTTAATTCTTTCTGCACCATTGCCATTAAAATTTAGGTTTTGATTAGATAAGGTTTCTTAGTAATATAATTATTATACTAAAGAAAAAGGATAATGACCATTAACGTTTATTGAGCACTTACGAAGCACATTTACTGAGCCGACACACACTCCCATTTTATCCTGCAACAACGGTGAGGTCCAGGGTTTTCTTATCCTCATCTTACAGCTAAGGGAACGAAGGAGTCATTTGCTCAGGCTCACACAACTAAGCAGTAGCGAAGCCATGACTGGACCCCCCCAGTCTGATGGTAGCATCTGTGCTACCAACCACTAGGCTGAACCACCTGCACTGTGACACCTGCCACAGAACACAAGTGGACGTGAGAACAGAACAGCCCGGGGCACGCACCTGGGCCTCGCCTCTGGCCTGTGACCCTTCCTGGGCCCCGTCATCAACAGCACCCCAGGCTCCCAAGCAACAACTGTCCACGCAGGTCCACCATCTGGCAGCACTGACCACGCTCCTTCCATGGCCAGGAGCAAGAAGAAAGTTCCAACAACTGGCACAGGAACTCTCTGGAACAGGTCAGCAGTTGGCCCGTATCAAAACGTACACCTCCAGCTGCTTCATTTGCTTCCTTCCTGTGTTCTCCTGCTCAAGTACGTGCCCCTTCACAGATGTTCCTTCTACCTGCAGACTGCAAACCTTCAGGCACCTTCCACTCTTAGCTATCCATGGTTCCAATGGGGACACTTCAGATTATAAACGTTGCTTAAATTAATTTTTTCTATTGCATTCATGGGCTAAACTTCTCCTCACAATTATCATATACTAAAACACACTTCCTACACTTAACTGCTTCTAACCAGAGCGTCATGTCCTTTCAAATACAGCTCTCATTTTGTCCTTTCTGGTGCAGAAGATCATCTATTTCCTCAACGAAGAAACACACGCTTGCTCATGTTCAGCCATCACCCAGAAACATAACCTGCAAGCAACGGAGCGGGGACTCAAGGCTAAGCAGCCTCCTAACACAATCCCAAAGTGACGGAGAACAGCAGTGACTCAGAACCAGAGGGTCTGCACACTTCAGCCTTTAACGTAAACACACACAATTCTACCCCAGAACCGTGGCATGCCAGGCTGAACGGTGGCCCAGTAGAGAAAATGCCGGGGACTGTACTTACTGTCATTCAACTGTCTGATGTTCTTGAGAGGGCATTTCAAAGTACGAAGAAAGCAGAGAAGTTCTCATTAAAACTAGATATGGGATCATTGGGCCAACGTTTGACTACGTATATGTAACAATTCCAGTAGTTCCACACACATACCACTGGGGAGCACCAGGACAGTAACGCTGTGAACACGGGAGCTCGGGACCCCCCTGCAGATCCACAGGACTGCAGCTCCTGGGTTTGTTTTGTTTTTTGTTTTTGGGGTTTTTTTAGAGATTTATTTTTTAGAGAGCACACACGAGCAAGGAGAGGGGCAGAGGGAGAGAACCTCAAGCAGGCTCCCGACTGAGTGCGGGGCCCAACACAGGGCTCCATCTCATGACCCAGAGATCATGACCAGGGCCAAAACCAAGAGACAGCCGCTTAACTGACTGAGCCACCCAGGCGCCCCTCCTGGTCTTATTTTAAAGTAGCTTTAAAGAACCACCAATAAATTGCTTATCCTACCTTAAATCAGGAAAAAACTCAAACTCAAATGTCCAATAAATGGAAATTATTTTCATGTGGTTCATTAGCTCAATGAAATGCCACATCCGAGCACGTAAAAGCCATTAACATGAAATCTAAGTGCTTCAGAGAAGCAGACTAAGAAATGACAGGCTATAGATTTTAAGTGCAGTACGTAAAAATGTTTGCGTGTGAAGAAATTCAGGAAAGTCCACATTTTTTATGGGACTTGAGATTATGAGTTTTCTTTAATAAGATACAAACTAAATCACAGGAAAGAAATAAAATGGCTCTTTATTAAGAACAGGCTTAACTGTATGCATCATTAGGAAGACACAGATGAAAACCATTTTGCCAGGGCCACTTTTCGCCTGTGAGGTTATCAGGGACCCAGACGTGGGGCCCGACCCCTGTGAGCATGGCTGGACAGAAGCAGGTCTTCTCACCCGCTGCTGCGGGACGCATGTTAGCGCAGCCTCTAAGGTTGGGGGGCGGGGGTAACAGGCAGAGGGAACGGGCAGAGGAGGTGTTGACCTCTATCCACCTTCGAAAACTACTGCACTTGGACCCAGCAATTCTACTTCCAGGAGTTTTTCCAACAAATTCAGGAGAACAAAGCGAACACAAAGGTTATGCACTGTGGCATCATTACAAACAACATCCTCAGCAGATCATCACAAACCACCTCCGACGCCTGGCTGGGGGCACCCTGGTCATCGAACCAACACTGCTGCGGATGACAAGCGATCACAATTAGAAAGAGGGCGGCCCCACATACCCTGGTAGAGAACCATCTCTACGATGCCAAGTGAGGGGGGTGTGGAATACACGACTGTTTCTCACGGAGGTGGAAGGAAGGCAGGAGCAGGAGGTGAAGGAGCATCTCTGGACCAGCTAGCACTGCCCGCCTCCAGGAGCATGGCATCGTTTACCGCGTGCACCTTTTGTATTTCGAGCCATATGCATACATATTATGCAGTAATTATCCAGTAAGTTAAATTAAAATTTCAAATGCATAGATTTCCACTGGTCTTTGTTGTTTAATTGTAAGCACCGGTGAAGGGTGTGCTTGGGGTTTGCACAAAGCCCCCACGCCCCCCCCCCACGCCTGCTTGTCGTGCCCCCTGCTCCCCCCTACCTTGCCAGCGCCTGGATCTTGAGGACGTGCCGCTCCTCCTGCTCGGCCACCTTCTTTTTCAAGGTGTCGACCTCCTGCCGCAGAGCCGCTGAGTGCTCCATCTCCCCGTCCAGCAGGTTCCGCAAAGACCTGGGCAGAGGGGCCATGTGTTCACGCACCGCCCGCGGAGCCCACCGTGCCACAACACAGGGATTTATCGAAGTCCTCATCCCTTCATTTTCCATGAGGGTCTGCATCAACCCTCATTCCAGTCTATCTCAGGTAAGGGCATTCACAGAGACACCCACGTCTGCTCAAGAGCCTCTGAGTAAGAACCAGGATGTGGCCCAGGCTCTGTGCCCCCCACAGCCCAAGTAGCGCTAATGATGGGTAAACAAGGAGTTCAGAGACCCCCAAGGCAAGCCCTTTCAAAGCATCCCACCATAAGGGGCAGCACATGAAAGGAGACCATTTTGTCACAGCCGCACTGGAGAAGAGACTGAACCAGGGCAGGGATGCCAGGATAGGCCACCTGGGTCCTGTGAGCAGTAACAGTGAAATATGGACAGAGGCCTCCTCTCATTTCCCATTCTACCCACAAAACACACCAGCCTCCTGCCCCGGCGTCTCCGGGTGGCACAAGCAGACGTGGTGTTTTATAGCCTTATCTGGTTTCACACGGCAGGGATCCTGTTCTGTGTCATGCTTGGGAGTTAACCCTCCAAAGTACATCCACTGGTCATCCTTGGTCTTAAAAGCAGACAAGATGGCAGATCTTCCAGAAAGAACCACTAGTTGCTACCAAGAAGTGAGCCAAACATAGTTCTGACTTACTGTTGACTTCACTGGACCTCAAATGGTTTGTTCTGGAGATCATTTACTGACTCTGGGGCACCTACACCCCTAATCTAGTGTACACATGCCAGGTGACATCAGGATAGAGGAAGAAGTGTGACTGTGAACTTGGCAAACCTCCCCCCTGGCCCCGGCCCCCTATCACTCACTCAACTCGGAGGCCCACGTTCCTTTAGAGCTTTGAAAAACTCCCTTCTTGGGGCCTGGAACCCCCTGACACAAACATGGTGCGATCTCTTCCCCCTGCTGCTTAGGAGAAATTGACAGTGACTGCTGTTCTTCACAAGGTGAGACAGAACCTACGGCTTCTGCCAAAGAGAACAGCTCCAGCTGGTGCAAGGAAAAAGAATCCTGTGATGGCTACAAGCCCTTCATTTAAAGTTTATTTTAGTTGGAAATTTGTGCTGTCTCAAGATTCCTTTTTCAAAAAATCATCTTTTGTTTTAGAAATCAGGCTTGTTTGCTTTTCTGTGTTTCCATAAAGGATGAGGAAGAAGCTTGTCAAGCAGGGCCCAAAATAAGGTTTAAAAAGGACAGTCATGATTGCCTGTCACCATGGACACTTAATTCCTGCTCAGAGAAAAATAAGAGAGCCACGTGAACACGCACACACACACAGGCACATGTAGGCACGTCCCCTAGCCCCCAGGGAGGCAGGACAGTCGGGCTCACGGAAGCCTAGCCTACAACCGCAGGCAAGGCCCTCCACCAACCGCCCCAGCCAGTGGAGCAGCTCACATTCAAGGCAGCCAGACGGGCGCAGCATAGCTAACGCAGGGCAGGTATCCACCAAGGGATACCCAAGACGAATAAAGTCCTTCACCTGCTCGCTTTCTGCCACTGGGCTTCTTCTGAACAAGTCAAAAAGAAGCCAAATACCAGCTTGCCCTAGGTATCCCTGATTTGAGAAAACTAAGTATTTGAGTGCTTGGAATATGGTAAGAAAAGCCCTCAAATAAAAGGTTACTCCAAAGACTGCTTTGGGGTGGGGGGGGTCAGAGGAAGACCGCTAACAGGTATGGGGGGGGGTCTCTGCGAGGTGGTGAAAACATTCTAGAAGTGGGCCCTGGTGATGGCTGTACATGTCTGCCAACACTGAACCGTACCCTTGAAATGGGTCAATTATATAATGTGTGAATTGTATCTCAAAGTCCCTTTTTAAAAAAAGATGTTTGAGAATATTGCTTTACCAAATTCTTAGTGTGTTCTAAGGTAGAGCCATGATTGGAGGGTTTTCAATCCCTGCCAATGCTCAAGTGGTACATCCCACACAAGAAGAGATCATTGGTCACAATCCTGTCAAAGCAAAACTCTCCGTCCCAGAACTGTAACATCCAAGAGACAACTCCTCAAGCCTGAAAAGTCAGGATACCTGTTCTCTTCTTCCAGCTCGTCCTTCCTGTTCATCATGGCCACAATGGCTTGTCGCAGTTCACCTAAGGGAAGAAAGCACAGTCGAGATTAATTGGCAGATCCCGCCTGTTTGACCGTCCCCTCACCGAGCTGGATTATGTGCTATTTAGGGCAAGCTGTCTAAACAAGTTCCCTTTTTCCCTTTCAAAATTAATTCCTGTGCAGTCTTCAAGACCCAGTGGGCGCAGCTCATCACTTAATAGCCACACGAAATGGGAGTGCCGGGCAGAGTGAGGAGTGTGGAGGGTTTCTTTAGGCAGCACACTCCACTGCTATGGAAAAAAAGACTGCTTTGCAGCTTCTACACGCTTTTCCAAGCCCCTGCTACTGGACAACATCTGCTCTGAACAATGATCTGTTCCCAGTTACAGCTGTTTATCAAGAGATGAGCAAGCCAATCAAGTGGCATTAGGCTCCAGGTGGACACAGAAATACTTACCCAAGTTTCCTAAGAGACGTGCTTTTCCTACCCGGACTTCTATCGTTAGAATACAGGTGACACTGGAAAGGGGTGGGGCCTCTCCTATACGCAGTCCCTCTTTACTTACAGGAGCTACTCTTTTGGGTATCTTCCACTTGGGAAAACATTCAGTGATAGAAAGCCACTCTTTTAAATAAGCATCCAACTTCCCTATCTTCATCAAACTTAACTGTTTTCACTATCTATCCACCTATTAAAAACGTTTACCGTATCACTCAGATCTCAAGACCCAGAACTTCTGGATTTCTTCAGGAGAGCCAGTTTTGTTCTCCCCTGCCCATCAACAAACCCTGTGAAATTCTGTTTCCCTCTCGGGATTGGCTGCTAGAAAGCTCACAGCCAAATGACCCACCCAGTGAGCGCATGGGGCCACATGGCAACCACGACAGGCTGTTTTATGGGCGTGCACATGAGCTCAAGGAGATTAAATGCCGGCAGCGCTAGAATTTGAATCCAAATCTCCCAATTTTCAACTCTGCATTGGACCTCAGGAAACAGTAACAGCTACTGGTCACATGCAAAGATGGAGGAACTTGGATTTCACAGACGCCTCACAGGGACATTAATGCATCTTACAAAGGAAGAGCACACCCTGACAGGTGAAGTCACACAACCTCACACCTCTCATGTCAGAGCCAGGATCTAAACCGAGTTCTCGGACTCCCAGGTGACACCGCCATGAAGACCCACGGCCCTGACAGAAGGCAGGAGGGCCGGGAAAGAGACCCAGGTCACATGTGTGCTAGATTCAGAAACAAGGCATGTCCAGGTCACGAGGCCACAACCAGGACCGTGGGGGTGCAGTTCCCGGCACATGTTCCCAGACCAGACTCATACAGGATTTTTTTTTTTTTTTAAGATTTTATTTATTTGACAGAGAGACAGCGAGAGAGGAAACACAATCGGGGGAGTGGGAGAGGGAGAAGCTGGCTTCCCTCTGAGCAGGGAGCCCGATGCGGGGCTCGATCCCAGGACCCTGAGATCATGACCTAAGCTGAAGGCAGATGCTTAACGACTGAGCCACCCAGGTGCCCCAGTCACACAGGATCCTTGCAACCTTGCTCAATGTTTGAAAATTCAGTAGAAAAAAGTTCAGTAGAAAAAAAATAGGCAGAAAAGCATTCCCACAAAAGATGCTAGAAAAGGAAAGAGCCAGGTTGGGGGCAAGGACCGAGAAGGATGGAAGGAAGGTTAAGCAGAGCTCACAGACCTGATGAGACAACGGGGACCAAGCTGCCCTGCACCTCGGGAGAGACAGGAACCAGAGCACGAAGCAGGTACAGCCGCCAAGTGTGTACCTGCCTCAGCCGGGCTCGGTAGGTGTCTGCAGAGTATCCTACTGGGTCCAATGTACCTTCCCAACAAGACAGCCAGGCTCCCAAATTAAGGAAGGAAGGTCTTTAAAGGAGGATTTCTTGAGCAGACAATACACATTCACAGACGCCTATTATGAAACAGGATCTAGAGGACTTTGCCTTCTGAACTTGACCAGGTAAGCAGGGTCCTGGCTCTTGGGCTCATACCAGTGTCTCAGCCTCTCTGAGCCTTTCCCTCGGATCCAAGAGGCAAAAAGAGCACCCAGCTTCCCAACTCCGAAAGGGGATGGGAAGGTACTGTGGTAAAGCATTGCCTCTTACATCCTGCAGCAAATAACTTACAAGAACTCAGCATGTACAACTTTAACTGGAAAATGTGGGGGGGAGGGGGAGCCATACACAAACAACCCAGTCATTTCTTCCAGGACACCACAGCCATGGGGAGGAG